AGAGAAATCCCGCAACATCCTAGACAAAATACTGGATGAATTTTGCCGAGATTTCAAAGGCCACAGATTGCCTTCGAGTGTGTCTACACCCGATAGCCAGTGACCACTGGAAATTTCGAAATCGCTTGTTATGAAGAGGAAAAGGAATGCCAACATGTAAAGGATATATATTGACAAAGAAAAAATAAATATATTTAATCCAAAAAAAAATAAATACATTTAATCCAAAAAAAATTCGTTCCCACAACCTTCCCCGAAAACTGATAGAAAGCAAAAAACCAAACTTACTTTTTCTTAAAGACACAGTGATCACAAGGTGATGCAGTTTCGTCCAGAAGAACGTTCATGAAAGGTTTACCAGGCGCTTTAGTGGCGTAAAAGTGCACAACAGTGAAATGAAAGAACTTATCAAAAGATCAATGTGCGGATGTATCAACACAGGTACCACTACGTGAGCCAATCATGATAATGGCACAAAGGCAGATGAAGTAAAAATTAAAATTTGATTCACAGTTCAAGCAGCTTTCGGCTGTATCACACCACGCGCAACAAGATCCGGCACTTCCACAGCTAACCATGGCCCCAGTCCCAGCGAAAACGCTTGGGCGATGCCAAATTTCGGAACATTTCGGGCCCACAACGGTTTGAAATGATCCGACAAACAGATTCGTCCTCCCCTAAAACAACAAATCGACAATATTCACTGTTTACTTAATAGATATAAAAATGCAGTGATGCGCAAGAAATGGTCTTCGCATATAAGTCATGATAATTTGCTACGGGCTCGAAGTAGATGAAAACGGTAAGGCATGCAAGGCTCCCTTTTACCCCGCTACGTTAGTTTTTTAACCCATTTATCAAACGATTACCGAAATAGTAGCTGGGGATAAACATTTTAAACATCATATTGCATGCTGCGCAACTGGACTATGAATGATGTCAGGCATACGTAAAGATATATGTACAAAAATAGTCATAATTTCTTTCTATCTACACTTGTAGAAATATTTTTGCATACTTATCCGTTTTGCCTACTTTTATTTACTTGCTAATGCACTTTTAAAGGCAAATTCCTGATTCTCACGCTCACGGGCTCAGCTGCCCAAAATCACGTTTTACAGTCACGTAAAAAGCAGCGAAAGTTAGTTTTAAATTTTTGAACATAAACGTAGCCAGGTTCAGCTCCGTCATCCCGGATGATGTATTTGCGCAACAAACAGAAAAACAAACAGATCACGTCCAAACATAGCTCTCGCTAATACGTCTTTGAGATGCAAGCAGGCATGAAAATGTAATGATTTGCAACTTTTCCAACATTACCTATCCAAAACAACTCCCTTTTCCCAGCGCAGCCGTACTTAACGTTTTTCATTCACATCTCAAATCGTACACGATGAATTTTCACGCCTAATTCATCTTTCGTTGTAGTTTAGCAATACGCTTTCAAGCCTTATTGATTAGGTCCGCTTAAATTATGCTCAGCTAAATTTTTCACCTCATTGAGTGAGTTACCGTGTATATTGTGTTAAATTTTTGGCCATTCGACTCAGTTTTTCGCATTTTTTTTTTTAAAAAAAATGCTTTTAATATCTTTTCTGCCCCCTCTCCTTTCAATGCTGGTTGATGATTTCGAGCGAAATTCACACCTGTACATTTTCGCAGTTTTACC